TCTAGTACTTTCTGTCCTGGCCTGCAAGCAGCCATTTCTCCAACAAACACTGGTTCCCGCGAGCAGGCGCCGGTTTAGGTGTTGGGTATTGGAATATTGGTCCTCCTGGGCCCGTCTGCAGGCATCGAGGAAAGAGCCATGTGTCTCTCTCGCCGCGTGTGTTTTCCTCTGAGTTCCCAGCAAACCTCCCGGCACCATGGGGTGGTCACGGCTCCCTCTCCCCGTGTGTCTGCGGCGCGGCAGCGGGATGATGCCCACGCGAGCCGTGTGGAGTGCGGGAGCCGGAGGGCGTCGGGGCTGCCCAGCTTCTCCCTGGCAGAGCGGGACACGGCTTCCGAGGCGGGGAGGCCGGGGCGGGGCTGGGGGGCTGCCCGCGCGGGGCTCGGTGCCTGCCCCTCAAAGCAGCTGAGGCTGAGACGGAGGCGCTCGAGCGACCAGCGAGGCTGGAGGGGCCGTGATTCTAGGCTCTTCCCCGCGAGACCTGGGGTGCCGGCCCGCAGCCCTCTGGGCGCCCCTCCGGCTGCTTCCCTCCGCGGGGCGCTGCCATCCCGTCCTGTCACCGCGCTGGACCCGGCGTGGAGCCCCGGCCTTGGGCTCGGATCCCCCAGCTTCCCTGAGGCTCCCTGGTTGCTTCCTTCCCGTCCCACTCGTTCTTCTGTGTTAATTCTAACAATAAAATCACCTGCTTTTTCTAAAACACCTTCATGAAAAGCTTCCGTTGCTTCGGGAGCTGGCCGCAGGGGAGGGGACGTGGCCGCAGGGGGGGGACGTGGCCACAGGGGAGAGGGACGTGGCCGCAGGGGAGCGTGAAAGTTGCCGTCTCACTTCTTGGCCGGGACGGGTCGCGTTGGCCTGTTCTCGGCACTTTTCTTCCGGCCGGGCCTTCCTGGTCAGACTGAGCCAAACCCTGTGGAGTTAAATCCCCGCTTCACCACTTAGACTTGGCGTGTTTCCTGTCATTGCCTCTGTGGCGTGGAGGGGTCCGGAGCAGGCCTGGAGCGGGGCTGCTGAGGAGAACTTAGCGTTGCTGCGATGTTTAGAGCAAACGCGGCACGTGCAAAGTGCTATATATGTGTGTGTTACATAAATGTACTATTCTAGCCTGAATTCCTCTCCAGAACAAAAGACGCAGGTTTCACGCTCCAACCCAGCCCTCTGCGCCTGCCGTGTCCTTCCTGCCTACAGAAATGTAACTTCTTCTTTTTTTTTTTTTTTTTAAATAGAGGCATGTTTTTATTTATTTATTTATTATATTTGTTTGTTTTGTTCATACATGCACTGGGTACAGTCAGAAGCGCGGGAGGGCGAGAGAATTCACCAGAGCCAGAGCAGGGAGCAGAGCAGGCAGAAGGACCGAAGTACACTGCTGAGGGGAGCAGCGGGCGGCAGGAGAGGTCTGCGCACCATGTGGGATCCTCCTCCGGTGGCCGGGGAGCAGCCGGGGATCGAACCGGCGCCGCAGAGGCCGCGGGCAGCTTCGCAACCCAGCGCTCAACCGCTGCGCCACCGGGGAGGCCCAGAAATGTAACTTCTTAATCAGATATTTAACTGGCATGAACTGAGCACTTAACCAGACACTGAATTAATGATTGACATGCAGCAAACAAGACATTCCCACCCATCCGGGAGCTTACAGTCCCGGGCGCGTGGCCGGCTGTCTGCTGGCGCTGAGCCCCCTGCGTCTCAGGGTGTAGCTTGCGAAGTCAGGGGACGCTTCTTGGAAGAAGTGTCATGTCAAGGAGCGCTGAGGAAAGAAAAGGGTCAGCCTCTTGAAGTGGGTGGTCAGACAAGGAGAGAGGTGGGACTTGGTACAGTTACTAAATTGGAGCTTTAAGGGAGAAAAGTGGCTAAATCTGAGGCTCAACAGGTAAATGAGAGGGTGTGAAAAGCATTCAGGGCAGGCGTCAAGTTCCCACCTCCGCCAGGCATCGCCCAGCCTACCTGACCGAATTCTCTGACCTTCCATCAGGGAGGGTTTGCACAGGGTGAGAACAGAGCTGAAATGACTTGGAGTGATTTCTTTCCGAAAGAGGTAAAGATAAGATGGGGGTCAGAATCTCACACAAATTTAAAATTTCAGATTTTTTTCTTAAAGACTTGGTAGAAAACACTGAAGATGATTCAGTGTCATAGAAAAGGACAGTTCTGAGAGAGAAAGCAAGGCCCTTAGGAACTATCAGCAGAATTCGTGAAAGGTGGAACTTTGAATTTGACAAGGAAGAGATAAGCTGAAACAGAAGGTAGGATCCAGGTGAAGGTGTTTGGGCTTTTCCCCCTTAAGGAGTGGGTAGTCACTGACAGATTTGATATGAGAAATAATTAGATAATCTTTGCATATTAGAAGGTGAATTTGGCAACAGTGTAGAATAAATGCAAAGGGACCAAGTCTGGCGGTGCGGTGGTGGTGCAGGGCGGCCAGGACGAAGTCCAGCAAAGAGCAGTAGTAAGAAGAGAAGGAGAAATATCGACAAGTATTATTGGAGACGGAATTGACTGGTCTTGGAGATTGACTGAATGGTGGTGAGGGTCAGGTAGGAATGAGGAGAAGTCAAAGCGGATTGCTAACATTCTGGCTCGACCCAAGAGCTGTAACAGATGCAAGAGGAGGAAGGTTAATAAAATATTGAAAAGTCAAGCTCAAGGTACCTCTGAGAGTTTGAAGTGTCTCTGTGTATTGACCGATAAAGAGAAATCCAGATCTCCCTGGATCTGGGGGTCATTGATACATTGAAGTGACAGTAGTTAAAGACATGGAAACGGATGGCTTTCTGATAGCATTTCATTTTATGTGTGCTACATGCTTTACATACATTATTTCATTTAATTTTATATCGTGATCTTGTCATTTCACGAAGAAAGTGACATAGGAAGAGTTAGGTAATATATAAGACCCCAAAGCTAGTTAGCAACAGAGCCAGGAATGGAACAAACTGATTTAAAGCCTGAAATCTTAAAGACTGTGCTGGGGTGAAGAGAACAGAGCACTCAGGAGAGCCCCTGGGAGGGGCACGAACTCTCCTGGGTGGAACCGTTCTCTGGCCAGGCTTGCCTGTGCGCTTGGCAGGAAGCAAAGAGGCGGAGGGAGGCCAGAAGGGCTGTGGCAGAAGCTGAGGGGAGGGATTGCTGCAGCTGGTTATTCTGTGTTTCAAAAGCCGTAAAGAGGGGCCTCCCTGGTGGCACAAGGGGTTAAGATGCAACCTATGAAGCTGTCCGCAGCCTCTGCAGCACGAGTTTGATCCCCAGCCAGGTTGCTGCCCACATGGCACAGCAGGCCTCTCCTGTCTCCCCGCTGTTCCTCTCAGCAGTGTATTTCAGTCAATCTGCCTGTTCCCCATCTGTCTCTGGGGAATGCTCTCACCCCTCGCACCTCTGGCCTGTACCCCCGTTCTTGTATGCATAAATAAATCTTCAAAAGCAGTAAAAAATAACATTTTTTAAAAAACCATTTGATAATAAGTTGGGATTTAATCATAAGCTTGTAATTGCTGTTTGAGTGGAGTGATAGCCCCATAGATGAGGTAGCATAGTTTATAGGAAGCTCTCAGCGCAATAAATTACATATTGTAAGGTCAAAAGAAAAAGGTAGTTCCTATAATTATGGAGTTAGTAGGAGCTGAAGTGGATACAGTCAGTATAATGAAACTTTCAGATTCCCAGATCTGGAACGTCTTAACTGACTTGGGTAATTTGATCAAGCTGGATTTAAATATGAATACATTTTTGGTGAGGACATAATTCTCATCCAATGGTTTCTGCTCTCTCTGTGAAATAACATGGAAGCTTCTGAGTGAGCAGGAGTGTAGTAAGGCAATGGGCTTGGCGTGGCGTTGTTATGGCAAAGGACAGAGTATGCTGATTAAGATCATGTGGAAGGACAAGCTTTGAGGACGAGCTTTCTGTTGGAGACAGAATTTATATGGTTTCCATCCTCCTGGTGATGTGATTTTCCTTCACTAGAAGCCAGGAGTAGAAATACAGGTGCAGACATAGACACATTTAGCTAGATTGATCCAGCTCTTGGGTTTTGTTAGATGTATATGCTACCAGGGCTTAATTAGAGAGGGAGGAGAAAAAGAAAAGTTTTGATAAAAAGTGATTTGAACCATGGTCAAAGACTGGTATTGTTAGAGAAAGAATTTAAGTACTGAAAGAGATTGTGGTGATAGAGAAAATAAAGACCTGAGATCTTGAGGAAATTGAAGAACACATTACTGGGAATGAGAGGTTGTGATCAGAGGAGGGGGTTTTACAACGTGCCAAGAAGGGAGGGTTATTGAATTTGAAATCAAGAAATTGAGACTAGAGGGCCTCCCTGGTGGCGCAAGGGGTTAGGCTCTGCACTATGAAGCAGCCCGCAGCCTCTGCAGCACGAGTTCAGACCCTGGCCAGCCAGGGAGCAACCCACATGGTGAGGCAGACCTCTCCTGTCTCGCTTGCTGCTCCCCTCAGCAGTGCATTTCAGTCAGTCTGCCTGTTCTGCTCCCGGCTCACACAGAGCGCAAATGATACATTTCCCAAGACATTCATCTAGTGATTAAGTAGCCACAAGACCTCTCTTGGCAGAAGATGGGAGGATTCCAGCATAGCTGAGTGATCACTGGCCTGTGTGATGGAGAGTCTGTCTGCAGGAATAACGTAGAGCTGAGCCATTGGCTTACGGTCGCGTTCTGGTTGGATCCTAGAGTCCTCGCTCTTTCCGCTAGCCGTGGTGTGTTTACAACAAGTTGAGCTTCAAAGCTAAAAGTTTGAGTTGAGATTTTCAAAGATATGTACAAAGTGAAGTAGAAATCTGCTCAAAGAGCACTTGGAACAGACATGTCTTAAGTAATCAAGATTTTTAGGCTCTGGGTTCAGTAAGTTGGCCCATCTGTTCTGTCCGTCCATCCGTCTATCCTCCATGTAATAGCAGCTGTACCGTTTGACAACACCGTAGTTGAAGTAAGTTGAACTAGGTGTAAGTTGACTGATTTGACTTTATTTCTTGTCTTTTGCTGCCCCAGCTGCCTATCCCCACCGCCTGAACCTTTTCTACCTGGCCAATGACGTCATCCAGAACTGCAAGAGGAAAAACGCACTCATATTCCGCGAGTCGTTCGCTGATGTACTTCCTGAAGCAGCTGCTCTAGTGAAGTAAGTAAATTCTTCCTGCTCTTTAAGGTCTGAGGGCACAGAGAGAATCGTACTTAGAACATTTGCTGGCAAAAGAAATCCTGACGGAATTTAGGGATTTGGTGCTCTGAGATAACGCAAGGTAAGAAGAGCTTCTGGTGACATCTGGTTAGTTGTTGCTCAGTGAAGAAAATCTTCAAGCCACTTGGCAATTTGGATTTTGGCATTTCTCTCACTTTCTGACTTAATTGTCAGACCCACCTTTCTTCTGCCTTTATATCCTGTATCCCAGAGGCGTGTCTACCGGAGCATTTAACTTATTCAGACAACTGCTGTCTCTCTGTCTCTAGCTTTTGGCCACATCTTTACTTCCTGGGAATAACTGCTTCACTGATCCGGCATATGGCCATACTTAGTTCAAAATGTCTAAAGCAACACAGTACACCTTATGTTTATGTACAGCCCTCTTACTGCAATTGGTGTAGAAATGTTATAAGTTGAGAATTATACAAGTATTATTTGAAACTCACAATAACCAATTTGCAGGTAAGCAGATTGGATTTTATTATTCTTCTCTACAAAAGAGGAAAACTGAAGCCCAGAGCAGTTAAGATTGTTAACTTGTCGTCCTTGTCACCCGCTCTCCCGTGTCACATTAATAAGCCATTGCTCCCCACCTCACATGCCTTGATAGCAAATGCTTTTGAGTTTTTTCTTTCTGGAATATTTTTTTTTCTTGGGAAGCAACAGAACTTAGATGTTAAGAATGGAAAGTTTGGGCCTCCCCGATGGCGCAGCGGTTGAGCGCTGGGTTGCGAAGCTACCTGCAGCCTCTGTGGCGCCAGTTCAATCCCCAGCTGCTCCCCGGCCACCGGAGGAGGGTCCCACATGGCGCGCAGACCTCTCCTGCCGCCCGCTGCTCCCCTCAGCAGTGTACTTCTGCCTGCTCTGCTTCCCGCTCTGGCTCTGGTGAATTCTCTCACCCTCCTGCGCTTCTGACTGTACCCAGTGCATGTATGAACAAAAAAACAAACGAACAAACAAACAAATAAATAAATAAAACATGCCTCTATTTAAAAAAAAAAAAAAAGGAAAGTTTACAATCGAGTTGCTTAATACTCAAATCCTGGGTCTACCACTTGTTAGATTAGCTATTTAATTTTTCAGTTCTTCGGATTTCTTACTAGAAAATGAGAATAGTAGTAGCAGTTTGTATCTTAGGGTTGTTGTGAAGATTATAAAAGCTAATACGAGTATCAGGGATATAAAAGTACTACAAAAATTAATGAGCTGGGGGCCTCCCCTGGTTGTGCAGGTGGTTGAGGCAGCGCTGTGAAGCTGTCTGCAGCCTCTGTAGCACCAGTGCATCCCGGCCAGCTGGTGAGGGTCCCACATGGCACAGCTAGACCTCTCCTGTCTCTCCTGCTGCTCCCCTCAGCAGTGTATTTCGTCAGTATGCCTGTTCTGTTCCCCGCTCTCTCTGGTGAGTCCTCTTACCCTCCTGCGCATCTGGTCTGTACCCCAGTTCTTGTATAAATAAATAAATCTTAAAAAAAAATTAATGAGGGCCTCCCTGGTGGCACAGCAGTTGAGTGCTGGATTGCGAAGCTGCCGCAGCCTCTGCAGCACCAGTTCGATCCCCGGCCACCGGGCAAGGGTCCCACATGGCGTGCAGACCTCTCTTGCCGCCTGCTGCTCCCCTCAACAGTGTACTTCGTCAGTCTGCCTGTTCTGCTCCCCACTCTGGCTCTGGTGAATTCTCTCACCCTCCCGCGCTTCTCACTGTACCCAGTGCTTGTATAAATAAACCTTTAAAAAAAAAAAATTAATGAGCTGGGCCTCCCTGGTTGCCTAGGGGTTAAGTCTTAGCACTACCAGCTCTATCACTGCTACTGCCTGAGTTTGATCCCTGGCCAGGGAGCTGACCCACACACGCAGCAGACCTCGCCTGTCTCCCTGCTGCTCCCCTCTGCAGTGTATTTCGGTAGATCTGCCTGTTCTGCTCCCCACTGTGTCTCTGGTTAATCCTCTCTCTCTGTCTCTCTCTCTCTGTCTCTCTCTCTCTCACACACACACACGCACACACACACCCCCCACATCTCTGGCCTGTACCCTAGCTCTTGTAATCATAAATAAATAAATATTAAAAAAAAAATAAAAAGGAAACATACAAGAGGTGTCTAGAGCAATCAATTCATGAAGGAAGCCGTACAATGACTGCCGGGGGCTGTGGGACATGGAGGTTGCTGTTCAGGGGGTGTCAGTCTTAGCATGAACTCAGGCTGCAGCGTGCCCAATGTGAGATGCGTTCTGGAGATGGGGAGGCTGTGGCGGTGGAAAGAGTTCCTCAGGCTTGCCTGGGTTCTGATATAGACAGCTGAATGTGAGATTGTGATATTGTCATGGGTCTCCCTGCGGAAATTTGATATTATGGGACTACCCCCAATGCCTAGGACTTGACCTAAATCATGACCTCAGCTCCATCTCAGGCTGGCTGTGCTGTCCAGGTGGTTGCAGCTGGTGTTGGTGAATTTTGAAGACGGTAACTCCAAGGATGGACAGACCGGCAGGTGCATTGGTGTGAAACAACTAGCTATAGGTATTAACAAGACAGACTTTACTGAGCCACCCTGCAGCCAGAAGAAAGACAAGGAAATCAGCACCTACATTAAGAAAATTGGCCATAAGTAGCATTAGTGCCAATTTCTGCTTGGAATGGTGACAAAGCGCTGGAGCCAAGTACTAGTATCATCCCTGCCTCAAGGTCGGAAAGACATCTGTGAAGATGGCGCTATCGGTGGGCCACGCTGCTTGATATTCTGGGTTACACTCTGTCCCCCAGTTGTCCAGCTGACAAATTCTTATGTTTCTTCTGCTCCAGACGTCTACAAAATTATGGTTTTGGTATTATCCCCGCCAGCCCAGTAAAGCCTTATGTTCTCAGACCCTGTGTGGTATCACATTTGCACTCGGCAGGGACAGAGTGGAAGTAAAGTCTGTTGAAATGCCCCAGGTAGTTTTGAGTGCGGTTCTTCCTGGGAAGATGTGGGCTTCATTGTCAAGGATTTACCTGCAAAGGTGTTTATCATGGCTTAGGTAATTACCAGTCGGGAGCAGCCGCACAGCTGTGCTGACTCGTCCATAGCGTGAGATGAGTTCAGTGCACTGAGCTGGGAGCGTCAGTAACCGTTCTGGTAAGAAGCTGGAAGATGGCTCCATACTCTTGAAATAGTGCTGCGGTTCTTGGAAAGCTCATGCATGCTGTACTCTGCTCCTCTGGAATCTTCTGTTTCATTGTTCATGGCATGAAACTGAATGTTACTACTGGTGGCATCAAAGCAGTGGGCAAGGAGTTGGCAAGGTCTTCCGGTCTGCCCAGAAAGCTTAGCAGGCGAATATCCTCTTCCCCACCACCCCAGTCTCTCTCTTCCAGTCATCCACAATGAGTTGATAGGTATTTTCCTCCACCAACATGAAGAGTCATGTTAGCATTTGAGGTTATATGCTAATAAAATGTAATGCATGGAAATGCTCACGTGAAGCACCATTTTAAATACTGGAGACTCATGTCTTGCAGGAAGAGCATTTAGAATAGCTTGTGCATTTCAGTCTCAACGAGAGGTGGAAAAACAGCTCTTTGTTTCTGTTAAACATTTAAGTTTAATAGTAAAAGACTGATTAATCCTCTTAAAAAGAGTTTATTAGGGGCCTCCCCTGGTGGCGCAGGCAGTTGAGCACAGCACTATGAAGCTGTCCACAGCCTCTGCAGCGTGGGTTTAATTCCCGGCCAGCCAGGGAGATACCCACATGGCGCGGCAGACCTCTCCTGTCACGCCCACTGCTCCCCTCAGCAGTGCTTTCAGTCCATCTGCCTGTTCTGCTCCCCACTCTGTCTCTGGTGAATCCTCTCACCCTTCCGTGCCTCTGGCCTGTACCTCAGCTGTTGTATAAATAAATCTTAAAGAAAATAAAAAAAAAAGTTTTATTAAATTAAAATTATTACATATATAATAATAAAAGTTAAAGGACAATACAAAAGAAAAATGAAGGACTGGTTGACAATGTTGCATTGTAAGCCCGTCAGAAGGAAAGGAGAATGTTTTGTGACTTTTTTGTGTGTATGGTAGTTTTATGTTATACTTTTCAAAATCAGTACTTTTTTTTTTTTTAAGATTTATTTATTTATGCATACAAGAACTGGGATACAGGCCAAAGATGCAGGGGGTGAGAGGATTCACCAGAGACAGAGTGGTGAGAAGAACAGGCAGACTGATGAAATACACTGCTGAGGGGAGCAGCGGGAAGCTCCCTGGTTGGCCGGGGATTGAACTTGTGCTGCAGAGGCTGCGAATTGCTTCGTAGTGCGGTGCTTAACTCCTTGCGCCACCAGGGAGGCCTATCAGTACTTTTTAAATGTAAACAAACAGTGGGCCAAATATCTGTCAAAGAATTCGAGATCCAGGGCCTCCCTGGTGGCACAGGGGTTAAAATCTCGACAGCCACTGCTCTGTGAGTTTAATTCACAGCCAAGCAGGTGATCCACACAGCGCAGCAGACCTATCCTGTCTCGCCCGCTGCTCCCCTCAGCAGTGTGTTTCAGTAGATCTGCCTATTCTGCTCCCCACTCTGTCTCTGGTAAATCCTCTCACCTCCCACACCTCTGGCCTGCACCCCAGTTCTGGTATGCATAAATGAATAAACACAAATCTTTAAAAAAAAAAAAAAAGAATTTGAGACCTGTTAAAGCAAAGTTTAATGAGAAAAAGAAAATCCTGACCTAGATTCATAAGCAAGTTAAATAATTCCAATCTTGCACACATTCAGAGAAAAGAGAGAATGCTATTTGGCTCACCTTAATGGAACTAGCGTAACTTTGACTCCAAAACTTGACCAAGAGAGTATGGGAAAGGAAAATTATAGACAGATCGATCTTATTCATGATCATAGATATCAGGGGAACATAGCTCTGTGGGGCTGGTCACAGCGCTGGGAATGCGACTTCGCATTGGGAAGCAAATTCA